CCAAACACCAGCCTGGAGGAAATTTCTCATGTGTACTTCACCTGGCTACTGTGCCTGGGTTGAAGTCATTTGAAAATGACACTGGAGGGCAGCACCTGTGGCTCAAAGGAGTAAGGTGCCAGCCCCATATGCTGGAAATGGAGGGTTCAAACCAGCCCTAGCCAAAAAAACTGCAAAAAAAAAAAAAAAAAAGAAAGAAAATGACGCTGGAGACAATAGAAAGATATTGAGGTGATTTACATTTGGGGTAGGGCATGTTTGGGGTGAGGAAAGTGCTGGGGAGAGGGGTCATGGTGACTTGGTTTTTGCTTTAATATCCCCCCAGGGAGAAGAGAAGTTTTTAGGGGGTGCAGTAAAAAGTGCACAGTCAGAATTCGTAGGTGCGCTGTAAATGAAAGCAGTTTCATTGCCTGGAAGAGTAATGTTTGCAAATGTGCACTTAGCCTGAAACATTCTCCCCTGGGAGCTGAGCTTCGCCAGGACCACGGACAGCGAAGACCCTGGGGCTGGAGCTCCGCGGCAGTGCAGGCGCTGCGGAGAGCGCCCCCTGGGGACAGAGTCCGGAACTTCGTCCAGGCTAGGTCACACCCCGGCACAGAGATAACTAGTCAGGTCATGTCCAAGATACCCCTTCTCCCAACAATGGCTCCTCAGCATCCCCAGGGTGTTAGCTATAGCCACACCTGGACTCTCCACGCACCCCGGGATCCCTTCCTTTACTCATCCTTCTTTTTGACAGGAGTCCTCAGGCCCACTCCTACATCTCCCTGGGCAGAGATTATTTTCCTTTTCCGAGAAGACAGAGTTTCTCTTGGTCGCCATGGGTAGAGTGCCCTGGTGTCATAGCTCACAGCAGCCTCAAACTTCAGGCTCAAGGCATCCTCTTGCCTCAGCCTCCCAATGGTGGGGACTAGAGGCACCATGCTTGACTCGTTTTTCTATGTTTAGTAGAGATGGGGTCTCATTCTTGCTCAGGTGGTCTCCAACTCCTGAGCTCAAGCAATCCACCTGCCTTAGCCTCCCAGAGTGCTAGGATTATAGGCATGAGCCACTGAGCCCAGATGGGGCAGAGCTCTGCACTAACCTAACCACCTGCCTACCCACCTGCCTGCCTACTTCTCTCCCTTCCCTCCCTCACACCTTCCCTATCACCTCTCCATCTCACTTCCTCCCATCAGCCACCTTTGTCCTCAGTGCAGTTATAGAGGTCTGGACCTGATCTTCTGTATCCTATGTTCCTCAGTGTGTAATTAAGGACAAAAATAGCAGGTGCCCAACAGCTCTTGAATTAAGAAGGAGGTCTGTCTATAATCCCAGCACTCTGTGAGGCAGGTGGATTGCTTGAGCTCAGGAGTTCAAGACCAGCCTGAGCAAGAGCAAGACCCCATCTCTACTAAAAATAGAAAAACTAGATAGGCATAGTAGTAGACATCTATAGTCCCAGTTACTCAGGAGCCTGAGACAAGAGGATCACTTGAACCCAAGAGTTTGAGGTTTCTGAGAGCTATGATAATGCCACAGCATTCCACCCTGGGCAAGAGAGTGGGACTCTGTCTCAAAAAAAAAGGAGGTGAGAGTTGGAGGAGGAAGAGGGAGGAGGTGCTCTGTGCACCCTGGAGATGGGTGGAAAGTGCTGAGGCGGCCATACACACAGCATGTGGAATTCAGGAAAGCATGGGGCTGTTGAAATGGTGGTATTTGAGGGACTTGGACTATGAGATCAGGAGGGCATTTATGAGCAGGTCTCAGAGCTGACATAGGGAGGGGAAGCCATGGGGAGAGCATGCTAAGAAGACAGAACTTAAGT